TTGTATGGCAAATTGTAGATTTTTCGGCTTGAATTACCAGGCGATCATAATCAGCAGCAGGTTGCTACCGAAAACCAAACGATCGTTGGTCACCTTTTGCAATTCCTGTTCTCCTGGTAATTCAATCCGAAAAGTCTACAATTTGCCATAAAAATGTACATTTTAAAGGCAAAATTGTGAGATTTTTCGGTTTGAATTACCAGGCGATCATAATCAGCAGCAGGTTGCTACCGAAAACCAAACGATCGTTGGTCACCTTCTGCAATTCCTGTTCTCCTGGTAATTCAAACCGAAAAATCTCACAATTTCGCCTACAAAATGTAAATTTGTATGGCAAATTGTAGATTTTTCGGCTTGAATTACCAGGCGATCATAATCAGCAGCAGGTTGCTACCGAAAACCAAACGATCGTTGGTCACCTTCTGCAATTCCTGTTCTCCTGGTAATTCAAACCGAAAAATCTCACAATTTCGCCTACAAAATGTAAATTTTTATGGCAAATTGTAGATTTTTCGGCTTGAATTACCAGGCGATCATAATCAGCAGCAGGTTGCTACCAAAAACCAAAAGATCGTTGGTCACCTTCTGCAATTCCTGTTCTCCTGGTAATTCAATCCGAAAAGTCTACAATTTGCCATAAAAATGTACATTTTAAAGGCAAAATTGTGAGATTTTTCGGTTTGAATTACCAGGCGATCATAATCAGCAGCAGGTTGCTACCGAAAACCAAACGATCGTTGGTCACCTTCTGCAATTCCTGTTCTCCTGGTAATTCAAACCGAAAAATCTCACAATTTCGCCTACAAAATGTAAATTTGTATGGCAAATTGTAGATTTTTCGGCTTGAATTACCAGGCGATCATAATCAGCAGCAGGTTGCTACCGAAAACCAAACGATCGTTGGTCACCTTCTGCAATTCCTGTTCTCCTGGTAATTCAAACCGAAAAATCTCACAATTTCGCCTACAAAATGTAAATTTGTATGGCAAATTGTAGATTTTTCGGCTTGAATTACCAGGCGAACATAATCAGCAGCAGGTTGCTACCGAAAATCAGCAGCAGGTTGCTACCGAAAACCAAACGATCGTTGGTCACCTTCTGCAATTCCTGTTCTCCTGGTAATTCAAACCGAAAAATCTCACAATTTCGCCTACAAAATGTAAATTTGTATGGCAAATTGTAGATTTTTCGGCTTGAATTACCAGGCGATCATAATCAGCAGCAGGTTGCTACCGAAAACCAAACGATCGTTGGTCACCTTCTGCAATTCCTGTTCTCCTGGTAATTCAAACCGAAAAATCTAACAATTTTGCCTACAAAATGTAAATTTTTATGGCAAATTGTAGATTTTTCGGCAAAATTGTGAGATTTTTCGGTTTGAATTACCAGGCGATCATAATCAGCAGCAGGTTGCTACCGAAAACCAAACGATCGTTGGTCACCTTCTGCAATTCCTGTTCTCCTGGTAATTCAAACCGAAAAATCTCACAATTTCGCCTACAAAATGTAAATTTGTATGGCAAATTGTAGATTTTTCGGCTTGAATTACCAGGCGATCATAATCAGCAGCAGGTTGCTACCGAAAACCAAACGATCGTTGGTCACCTTCTGCAATTCCTGTTCTCCTGGTAATTCAAACCGAAAAATCTCACAATTTCGCCTACAAAATGTAAATTTTTATGGCAAATTGTAGATTTTTCGGCTTGAATTACCAGGCGATCATAATCAGCAGCAGGTTGCTACCAAAAACCAAAAGATCGTTGGTCACCTTCTGCAATTCCTGTTCTCCTGGTAATTCAATCCGAAAAGTCTACAATTTGCCATAAAAATGTACATTTTAAAGGCAAAATTGTGAGATTTTTCGGTTTGAATTACCAGGCGATCATAATCAGCAGCAGGTTGCTACCGAAAACCAAACGATCGTTGGTCACCTTCTGCAATTCCTGTTCTCCTGGTAATTCAAACCGAAAAATCTCACAATTTCGCCTACAAAATGTAAATTTGTATGGCAAATTGTAGATTTTTCGGCTTGAATTACCAGGCGATCATAATCAGCAGCAGGTTGCTACCGAAAACCAAACGATCGTTGGTCACCTTCTGCAATTCCTGTTCTCCTGGTAATTCAAACCGAAAAATCTCACAATTTCGCCTACAAAATGTAAATTTGTATGGCAAATTGTAGATTTTTCGGCTTGAATTACCAGGCGATCATAATCAGCAGCAGGTTGCTACCGAAAACCAAACGATCGTTGGTCACCTTCTGCAATTCCTGTTCTCCTGGTAATTCAAACCGAAAAATCTCACAATTTCGCCTACAAAATGTAAATTTGTATGGCAAATTGTAGATTTTTCGGCTTGAATTACCAGGCGAACATAATCAGCAGCAGGTTGCTACCGAAAATCAGCAGCAGGTTGCTACCGAAAACCAAACGATCGTTGGTCACCTTCTGCAATTCCTGTTCTCCTGGTAATTCAAACCGAAAAATCTCACAATTTCGCCTACAAAATGTAAATTTGTATGGCAAATTGTAGATTTTTCGGCTTGAATTACCAGGCGAACATAATCAGCAGCAGGTTGCTACCGAAAATCAGCAGCAGGTTGCTACCGAAAACCAAACGATCGTTGGTCACCTTCTGCAATTCCTGTTCTCCTGATAATTCAAACGCAACGAGGTATACCATTTCATGATCAGACAATTATTTTTAAAGTTGTGGCGAAAAAACTGATAATTTTATGACCGAAATTCGAAAAAACGGTTTTTGGCAAAAATGAAAATATTTTTGGTGGGCATTTTAATCATAACTCAGCTAAAAATGATCATAAACATGAAAGAATAACTGTTTTGAGCAGCTAATTACCAATACTAACGATCCCTATCATTTTTTGACGGATTTTGGGAAATTAATTTTTGGGTCAATTTTTGCATTTTTTGTAAGGGGTATCATCATTAAAATTTGCAAAAAATTGAAAAAAAATCGAGTTCCCATTTTTAAACACAGTTCCATTGGAAATTTAATTACGAACGCAACGAGGTATACCATTTCATGATCAGACAATTATTTTTAAAGTTGTGGCCAAAAAACTGATTATTTTATGACCGAAATTCGAAAAAACGGATTATGGCAAAAATTAAAATATTTCTGCATTAAAATTTGCAAAAAATGGCAAAAAAATCGAGTTCCCATTTTTAAACACAGTTCGATTGGAAATTTAATTACGAACGCAACGATGTATACCATTTCATGTTCAGACAATTATTTTTGAAGTTGTGGCCAAAAAACTGATTATTTTATGACCGAAATTCGAAAAAACGGTTTATGGCAAAAATTAAAATATTTTTGCATTAAAATTTGCAAAAAATGGCAAAAAAAATCGAGTTCCCATTTTTAAACACAGTTCGATTGGAAATTTAATTACGAACGCAACGAGGTATACCATTTCATGATCAGACAATTATTTTTAAAGTTGTGGCCAAAAAACTGATAATTTTTTTGTGACCGAAATTCAAAAAAACGGATTTTGGCAAAAATGAAAATATTTTTGGTGGGCATTTTAATCATAACTCGGCTAAAAATGATCATAAACATGAAAGAATATCTGTTTTGAGCAGCTAATTACCAATACTAACGATCCCTATCATTTTTTCACGGATTTTGGGAAATTCATTTTTGGGTAAATTTTTGCATTTTTTGTAAGGGGTAACATCATTAAAATTTGCAAAAAAAGGCAAAAAAAATCAAGTTCGCATTTTTTAACCCAGTTCGATTGGAAATTTTATTACGAACGCAACGAGGTATACCAGTTCATGTTCAGACAATTATTTTGAAGGTATCCGCCAAGTCGACCTAAGCTGAAAATTGTAGTTGCGATGGCGCCATCACTCTCGATTCCCTTTCCTCTGTTAGATGCCGAGCATCAGAAGAATTATACCAAAGTCTGGGATGCCACCCAAATGAAGAATGAGCGATGTGACGATGGATCTGACAGGCTGTCCGGTCAAATCCTAATCCTCTGTCGAAATTGCCCACTTTAGTGAATAGTGGAATCTGGCAGTCAGCACGTTCCGCCGATAGGAAGCACATTCGAATTTTGGCATGCATATTGAAAGTAATTTATTTACTGCCTGCATTGTGTACTAATAAAGCGTTCTGATTTAATACGAACGGATTGGAGAATGGGCAAATGTGGACCCCTCGCAGTTGCACATAATTTATTTCAGTGTAATGGGCAGTCACTGGGGGGCTGGCAGGCGTTAGTGGGCCTTCCTTTCCGGGAAGGCATCTGGCCATTCAGCTGGAGATTTTTCCCAATTGATGGCCAATGTGCCACTGGCTGCAAGTTTATGGCCGAAATGTGTAATCATCATAAATGGCAAATAAATGAAGGCCCGGTCTGTCAGTGTATTCTTTTTGTTAAATAGAATAATTTAGAAAAACATTCAGTTAAACAATTGCATACTTTTCGGCTGGTCTTAATAAAAACTCACGTTGATAAATTTATATATATTTTTTTTGTATAATATGTATGAATATGTAACTATGTAACCATAACTGAAATATGTATTTTTTTTATTTTATGTACGTATGTATTTAAGTAGTATATGTTTTTCAAGAATTATAAAAGAATGGCGATAAGTGTGTAGCATAGTTTTGGGCTGCCATCGTATGAATGAACTGATGTAATGTGCTACAGTAAACTCTCTTAAGCTGAAATTCATTATAGTCATTAAGTAATATAAAATAGCTGGGCTATGAAAACTGAGCAAAACTATTCATATTTCCCCAGTATTTCATCAGTACAATAAGCAAGCATCAGCAATAATCAAAGCATTAGTTTGTTGAATAAAGCGAAGCGGAGAGCAGAGAACGTAAAAGCAAAACTAAGGCAAAACCTTATCTGCACTAAGAAAAGTTCGAAAAGTTCCCGCTTTGCGACGCCCCACTGTAGTGGGGAAGATCGACGTCGGCAGCGACGGCGACTGCGACGCAAAACCGAGTTAACGACGATTTGGAAATCGTTCTTCAAGAGCATTTTCAATTGGGCGTTGTCAGTGTGAAGACCGATTCGAATTTCTCGTGTGTTTTTCGCCGAACTGTTTTGCTAGTGTCAGCCGCATAAATTAGCTAATAACGTTCCTGCGATCGGTATGTATTGCGGCCACTAATCTTAACTACGAGTAAATAGCCAAAAGGAAAGAGTACCTAACAGTCAAACGAAATGGAACTTGTTTTTCGCATTTCGCCATTAGCATACATATACCTATAATAAATTGGAAGTGATGGGGGGACGGATTCCAAGGGGGGCTAATCAGACAGCAGCTGGGGGCTTCAACTATTATGTCAAAAAAACAAGAACACAAAATAGATTTATAAAAATTCAAAGTCAACGCCAGAGTGTGCGCGAGAGCGAGAGGGCGCGCTGCCGAGGGAGATAGCACGTGTTACTAAATATGAATTGAAGTGAATTCGATCGAAGGTCTGTAAAGCAACGCTCCACGTTTGTGTGATTAAATGTGTATTGTTCTGAAAAAGCCTAGTAACTGGGAATGTGAGCATGGTGCATTGAATTATACAAACAAGTGGTTTATCTTTTAAAATTGGGCAATGGGTCTATGTACTTACAATCGGTCTACTTATAATTCAAAGATAACCAAGATAATACCTGCGATATGTTTGCTTTGTATAAGGGCGCAGGCGATTGTATAATTAACAAATTATAAACAACATGCCGCCTTCGATTTGCAAGTTCTTTTGCAGTTTTCTAAATGCGTATTACTCGTGTTTCTGGCTATTGGTAGTTAAAACTGAATAATACTTGTGGCAATTCTCAAAGCCAAAGGGGAAAGCGAAAATAGTTTGCTTATTTCGTTTACATAGTTCAATAGTTTACGTTTTATAGTTTACATTACTCACTTCTTGGAAGATATGTACATCAGATACATCAGATAATACATCAGATACTTCAGATACATCAGACACATCAGATATATCAGATACATTAGATACATCAGACACATTAGATACATCAGATACATCAGACACATCAGATACATTAGATACATCAGACATATCAGATACTTCAGATACATTAAAGGGGGTTTTTTGCTAGCATTAGATACTTAACCTATCAGATACTTAAGGGTAAATGAAATTGAAAGCAGCACCCGAAGCGGCTTCTACTTACTGTCTACTTACGAATTGGAAAAAGTGCGTCGGGTGATTGCCCAATTATCGCGGAAAAAAACGAAACAGGCCCCCCTGATCGTAACCTTCGCCGGTTTCTAATCTTTCCGCTTCGGCTGGAGGAAAAACAGAAGCGTTCGAAAATAAAACCGGGTGGTGCCAATATGCGTTCCATCGTAGAGGCATCATAATAATAATAATCTCCCCTGGCCGTCGTAGCCTTGACTGATAAATGATAACGCCCTCATGCTTAGATGATAAGGCCAATGGTGACATTAGTGCACTTAGATACAGCGTCTCGCCAGGATCGGTTGGCTTGCGAGTGGGGCGGCGATAAGAGGCGATTAGGTTGTTCTGGCTGCGATGCGATAGGCATCGCATGGGAAAGGGAAGTTGGCCGATCTGCACGTGGCCACCATCCAATGGCTGTAATCCAAATGTGCCACTTCTGCGTTTGCAGGTGAACAACTGTGCCAGCAAGATGAGTCCGCCGCAACTGTTGAGCAAGGACTCCCCGGATATTGAGGTAGGTCGCTGGCAGTAGCCATCCATTGATACTGAAGCACTTTTGTTATCCAAGGACCTGCTTGCGCGGAATCCTCGCGTGAAGACGCACTGCTCCGTGGTGCCCACCAAGCAGACGAAGGAGAACAAGAAGCACTGGAAGCGGAATGCGGACCACGCCGCCCCGCCCTGCACCACGCTGGCCAACGACTTCTCGGACATCAAGCACACCACACTGTCGGAGCGCGGAGCGCTGGAGGAGGCGGCCAGGTGCCTGAAGTGCGCGGACGCACCGTGCCAGAAGTCCTGCCCCACGCAGCTGGACATCAAGAGCTTCATCACGAGCATTGCCAATAAGAATTTCTACGGCGCCGCCAAGGCGATCTTCTCGGACAATCCGCTGGGCCTGACCTGCGGCATGGTCTGTCCCACCAGCGATCTCTGCGTGGGCGGCTGCAATCTGCAGGCCTCCGAGGCGGGTCCGATCAACATTGGCGGCCTCCAGCAGTTCGCCACCGAGGTGTTCAAGAAGATGGGCGTCCGGCAGCGGAGGACCCCGCAGGCGGAGGCCAATCCGTTGTCCCAAAAGATCGCCCTCGTGGGCGGCGGCCCGGCATCGCTGTCGTGCGCCACCTTCCTGGCCCGTCTGGGCTATCGGGACGTGACCATCTACGAGCGGAGAAACTATCTGGGTGGCCTGAGTGCCGCCGAGATTCCCCAGTATCGTCTGCCCATCGATGCGGTTAACTTCGAGATCGATTTGGTGCGCGATCTGGGCGTACGCATCGAAACGGGTCGCTCGCTGGCCACCAAGGATCTGACCATCGAGGGCCTCCTGTCCACTGGCCATGACGCCGTCTTTGTGGGCATTGGACTGCCGGAACCGAAGCTGAATCCCATCTTCGCCGGCCTCCAGCCCAGCAATGGCTTCTACACCTCCAAGAACTTCCTGCCCTTGGTGTCGGATGGCTCGAAGCCGGGTCTGTGCGCCTGCAAGGCAGCCGCCGGCTTGCCCAAGCTCCATGGCAATGTCATCGTGCTGGGTGCCGGCGATACGGCCTTTGATTGCGCCACCTCCGCGCTGCGATGCGGTGCCCGTCGTGTGTTCGTCGTCTTCCGGAAGGGAACCTCCGGCATCCGTGCTGTGCCCGAGGAGGTGGAGCTGGCGCGCGACGAGCGCTGCGAGCTGTTGCCGTTCCTGAGTCCGCGCAAAGTGATCGTCAAGGATGGCCTGATCACCGCCATGGAGCTCTGCCGCACGGAGCAGAACGAAAACGACGAGTGGGTGGAGGATGAGGAGCAGACGCAGCGCCTGAAGGCGAACTTTGTGATCTCCGCCTTTGGCTCCGGCCTGGAGGACCAGGATGTGAGGGCGGCACTAGCGCCGCTGCAATTCCGCGGCGAATTGCCCGTGGTGGACAGGGTCACGATGCAGAGCAGCGTGAAGCAGGTGTTCCTCGGCGGCGATCTCGCCGGAGTGGCCAACACCACGGTGGAGTCGGTCAATGACGGCAAAGTGGCCGCGTGGAGCATTCACTGCCAATTGCAAGGCCTGCCGCTGGACACTCCGGCTGCACTGCCGCTCTTCTACACGGACATCGATGCCGTGGACATATCGGTGGAGATGTGCGGCATCCGGTTCGAGAATCCCTTCGGCCTGGCCTCCGCACCGCCCACCACCAGCACGGCCATGATACGGCGCGCCTTCGAGCAGGGCTGGGGCTTTGTGGTGACCAAGACCTTCGGTCTGGACAAGAATCTGGTCACAAATGTCTCGCCGCGCATCGTCAGGGGCACCACGTCGGGCTACAAGTATGGGCCGCAGCAGGGCTGCTTCCTGAACATCGAGCTCATCTCGGAGAAGCGGGCCGAGTACTGGCTGAAGTCGATTGGAGAACTGAAGCGCGACTTCCCCGAGAAGATCGTGATAGCCAGCATTATGTGCGGCTTCAACGAGGACGACTGGACGGAGCTGGCCACCAAGGCGGAGCAGTCGGGTGCCGATGCCCTCGAGCTGAATCTTTCGTGTCCCCATGGCATGGGCGAGCGGGGAATGGGCATGGCCTGCGGCCAGGATCCCCAGCTGGTGGAGCAGATCTCGCGCTGGGTGCGCAAGGCGGTCAAGCTGCCCATCTTCATCAAACTAACGCCAAACATTACGGACATCGTGTCCATTGCGGCGGCCGCGAAGCGCGGAGGAGCCGATGGCGGATCAGCCATCAACACCGTCCAGGGACTAATGGGGCTCAAGGCGGACTCCACAGCCTGGCCGGCGATTGGCAAGGAGCAGCGCACCACCTACGGCGGCGTCTCCGGCAATGCCACGCGTCCGATGGCTCTGAAGGCCATCTCCGATATTGCCAATCGCTTGCCGGGATTCCCCATTCTCGGCATCGGTGGCATCGATTCCGGCGAGGTTGCGCTGCAGTTCATTCATGCAGGCGCCTCTGTTCTGCAGATCTGCTCCTCCGTACAGAACCAGGACTTCACCGTCATCGAGGACTACTGCACGTCGCTGAAGGCTCTGCTCTACCTGAAGGCCAATCCGCCACCAGTCGATGGTCCCTTCTGGGATGGCCAGTCGCCGCCCACTCCGGTCCACCAGAAGGGCAAGCCCGTTGTCCGCTTGACCGGCGAGGGCAGAGCCACGCTGGGATTCTTTGGTCCCTACCAGCGGCAGCGGGACATCAAGATGGCCGAGCTGCGTAGCCAGCAGGGACCTCTTTGGGATGCCGAACAGGTGAAGGCCTCCTGCGCTCCGCCGGCGGCTAGTGGAGCACCCAGGCCGGCACCGAGAATCAAGGATGTCATCGGAGCGGCGCTGGACAAGATCGGCTCATACAACAAGCTGGATAACAAACAGCAGAAGGTGGCGCTGATCGATGATGTGAGTTCTGCGTTACCCCCAAGCTCCAATTGCCAGTTGCCATTACATCCTTGCATCTTCTTTTCCAGGACATGTGCATAAACTGCGGAAAGTGCTACATGACGTGCGCCGATTCCGGTTACCAGGCCATCGAGTTCGACAAGGACACCCACATTCCGCACGTGAACGACGATTGCACGGGCTGCACGCTCTGCGTCTCCGTTTGTCCCATCATCGACTGCATCACGTGGGTTCCTCAAAGTCACCTGCTTCGCTTCCTGGCTAACGAACTTCATCATCTTTCCGTGTATTTCCAGCATGGTGCCCAAGAAGATTCCGCACGTGATCAAGCGGGGAGTCGAGGAGAAGACCTTCTACACCCACGCTCTCAGCCAATGCCAGTAAAAGTCCCTAGTTCTACGCGAAATACTGATAGTATATTCCATCTATGTAATTCAATAAAGTCAAAACTTGTTTCAAAAGCAGCCAGTTGCGAATTTTTAGGGGGTTTTCTCTGGAAAACATTTAGCGGCCGTTGGGGAAAAAGGACTGAACAATCGTTTTGGTACGATGTTCTTCGAATATCTGCTATATCACTGATAACAAGCCCAAGTATTTGAAAGCCGTTTTAGTTTACAATTCGTATTCAAAATTGGCGCGCACCCAAGCTTTTTGCAATGCTTATCGATATCTATCTTCTTATCGATGCCATCAACGGGACCAGCTGATTGCCGAGCACGATTTGCTTACTACTAACGCAGAAATGCGATAAATAAATCTTGTCATTCAAGTAAACGAAAGGCTCAACAACGAAATTTACTTAGCTGTTTCAAAATATCAATAACTCCAATTACTAACTTCTAACTTCCCTACTCATCCCTAACGCTGGCGATACTATCGAAGGGATCAGCTGCTCGTCGATACTGAAAAGTTTAGAAAAAGCGAAAAACTGAACTGCGTAGAAATCAAGTAGCAGCTGTGCCACCCAAAAAACAAGTCGTTTGCACTTTCAAATCAGCGATAGCTACTACCTGAAAACAAAATTCCACGTCAAATTCGGACAGCCACGGGAAATCCGGCATATTCGATAGCGCCCGCAGAGCACAGAGCACAGAGCTCTCGAAATCCAGTTCCGTCAGCCAAGGTGAGCATCATTGTCGCCTTGCCTCGCAGCCAAAATAGCACTGATTGCCAGCGGTTTCTACGCATTTGCAGAAGCCTATGATATAACAATGTCACGATCTCTGAGTCGCGTACTGGGCACCGTCTGGGCGCCATCCCTGGCCATTTCTCATCCCGGAAATCGGGGATCCAACAGACTGAACGGCCTACTGCGCGCCAAGGGGGCCACCGCGACCATCATCCCGATGGCTGAGTACTCCAAGCGAAATGGTCCGCCATCGGATGCCGGCGAGTCCTTCAAGACCGTCACCAAGTCGCGGGATCTCGACGGCGACGATGAGCTGAATAGCTTGGAGAGCGAACCCAACTGGGAACTGACCGCCGCAAGGAGCAATCGCTTCTATCTGCCCAATGCCACAGGTCCCGCCTGGCAGGGCGACACGACCACCGTCGGGCTGCTGGAGCCGCTTGGCCAGCTGGTCAACTTCCTCAAGGAGGCCAACGCGGACAAGTCGCGCCTGGAGTTCACCTGCTGTCAGTGTCCCATGCTCATCCGCGAGTCGCTCGTGGAACTCTTCCCGGTGCGCGTCGTCGCGCAGCGGGACTCATCCATCACCATGCTGGTTCTCAGCTATGAAGGAGACATAGAAATGGGCGCCGCCAAGGTGAGGAATGACTCCGGAAATCCGGACTGTAGCAGTGTGTTCGGCTGAGGAATGACCTCGTTATTGCCACGATCATTTGTGTACATAAAATCAAACCAGTTTCTCGTGTTGAAGGCTAGGTGGTTGACCTTCCTCATGGCAATCCTGTGCCATCATCCATTATAAAGCATTTATAACAAATATGTTTCGCATTTCTGAAATGCCGTAATATAATGTTCCGACCTTATATCATTATTAACTTAGATTTGCGTTACAATGCTAGCCTGCGAACCTCGACAGTTTCGTATAAAATCAGATAATCAGAACACAGAAAAGTTAGTGACTGCAGTTTGCCTGCTATCTACTATGAAAATATAACTAAGAAACACCACATACATATGTAACTAATGTCGACTCCATCCACTTGCAGTTTGTGCTGGCAGCGCGGGACATGTGCGATCGCCTGCTGTCGCAGGGATACTGGGCGGACTTCCTGAATCCGTTTAGCGGGCGGCCGTACTTTATGCCGCGGGACGGGGCCAATCTGTATAAGCAGGACCACCGTTTCCGTGGACTGAACATGCTGCTGTCGCAACAAAACCATTGCACAGTGATTGCCGCCGAGGAGAACGACAGCACCCGCTTCTCGGGCACCATCTACTGCACAGCGCCGAATCACTATGATCAGCTGGTGGAGCTGCTGGTGCCGCCGCCGCACAAGGTGGCCAAATGACGCGGATGCCAGCGGATGGGCGCTGAGGTGGATGCCATTGGAAGTCGTAGCCTTTTTAGTGATGAAGACTGTGTTAACTGTTTAGGTTTTCTGTTCCGACACTGTATATAGCCGACAATGCTTGTGTTATATATGCTGCAAAATATAATCGATAGGAATATTAGACGCTTGTTTCCCTAGGCCACGGCCATCTGTTGGCAGTGGCGCTCGATCTCCTTTAGACGATTAATCAGTGACTGCAGCTCCTCGGCGTTGCAGACGAACTCAACGATGGTCACCCGCTCACCGCTGCTCTGTCGGAAGTTGCCCAGATTGATGTGGAAGCTGGCCATGCCCGTGCTGCAGTCAGAGGTGGAGGACTTGACGTCGCACACGATGCGCCACTGGATGTCCGTGATGTGCGGGAAGCTATGGCCTATCTGCAGTTGGCGGAGAATCAGTTCCTTGCGATTGTCGTCGTAGACACGGCTCAGCTCGTCCACGGCGGCTGGATCCAGGTTGAGTTGCTCCAGCTGCTGGCGCAGTTGGAGGCCGTCCCAGCCGTGCTTGGTGCCCAGGGCGTAGAGTGTGACCACTGCGTACTCGCTCTGTTTCGCGCAGGCGGCATTGCTGGCATAGAGCTCGGGCACGGGAGCAATGGCTGCGGGGGAGCACACATATGGATTAGATCAAGGGCTACACGAACTCCCAGCTTCCGACTCACTGGCATCTGGATGGAGTGTCAGTTTCAAGGAATTTGCAATGAGCAATTTGGTGAGTGGCAGCGAAATGATGGCGCCCAGGTTCCTTAAGCCGGCCACTACAGTGGCGGAAATCAGCCCAGTTTGCTCGGTGTCTGTGTGCAGGGCGGAGGAACTTCCCGGCAAGGCGTCCATGTGTGATAGTTTAACTCCCTTGGCGATTTATTAAAATAAAAGCTATATTTATATTTATACTATTGAACCGGTTGTAAACAAGAAATGCGCCCAACAGCACAGTTACGTTCTTAACAGCAGCTTTTAAGTATGCCCAACAGCGATGTTACTGTTCAGGCAGTGCGCCCTCGCTATAGTTGCAAAAAAAAACCAAGTCCCAGTGTATGTCAATGTCCATTAGAGGAGCTTTATACACCGCATGATAAGCGCTTAAGATTTTAAGTAAGTTGAGCTGCTGATAGAAAACCAATGAATGGATTCAACAGTTATATAATAATTGTGCTCGCATATTTCGCCCGTATTTAAATATTTCCCAATTGGAAACTGTAAGTGTGTTGTTAACAGCTTACTGCTTAACAGAAAAGAACCGGAACCAGTTTTGCGAGCCAGTTAACAGCGCCTCCGTTTGACGTATAATTTATTGATCCAAATGCACTATTTACTATTTACAAAACCAGGAACAGCAGCTACACCCTGTAGAAGCACTCCCTGGCCTGTGGCTCGCAGTCGTCGTACGGTTTCAGCATGGCATCGCCGTGAGCCACCTGGCCGCCGGCATCGATCTCGCTCAGCTCCGAATCGGGCACACAGGCGCACTGGAAACTCTTGTTGCCGCGACTGTACAGCTTGCGGGGATAGCCGATCCAGGAGCGCTCCTTGCCGTCGCCGCTGGTCGTTGTGCACCAGACGCGTGTGCCGCGCTCCTCGCTCCATTCGATGTTGCAGCCGGGATACCGGGCACGCAGCTCCTCCACCTGGCGCTTGGCATCGCGCGCCTGCTGCAGCAGCTCCAGGAACTTGTGGTGATAGGCGGTCAGTGCGCCCTTCTCGTCGTAGAAGCGCCCAATCACCCGTCCCTTGTAGACGTAGTCCTTTTGGTAGAAGTCTCGCCATCCGGCCAATCCAATCAGGTCGTCTGGCTTGAGGGTCAGCACATCGTCAGCCGTTTCTGGATTGTACGACTCAAAGTCGCCGGAAATGAAGGACACGGAGGCGTCGCGACCCACAAAGTAGTTGTAGCTGCAGCCGGTTCCGTAGTGCTTGATGCCGCGGCTCACATCGAAGACGGAGCCGAGCAGAGCCAGGTAAAGGGGACGACCCTCCTCCGCGCCATTGAATTTGGCCAGCTCGGCCGGCGTGAAGAGTGTGCCGACCTCGTCGGCAGCTTGGAATGCCAGGGGAATGCCCGCATCGTGGCCAGCGTTGTCCAGGTAGTGGTCCGTTTGGCGACGCAGGAACTGCCTAATCTCTGTGTGGTAAATTCCGCCCAGAACGGCCGCCACAACGAAAAGAAACTGCAATTTGAACAGGTGTCGCAGCAATCCGAACATCTTGCCGTTTCGCAGTGCGGAACCGAAACTGGTTCCACTTGAAATTGAACCTGTCGTGCGGTTGAGGTGACCATGCTGGGCAAAAGAGCGGTAAACCGGTTTGAATTTAAAACTGTGGATTCCAAGTTGGGATACAAGTGCATAACATATTTGCATAATTTTTATTTGCAGAATCCAGATAAATGAGTTCATAGGTTCTTGATCACCTAGCGACGACGGGAGACGCAGGCATCGATGTGGCTGTTGACCTCCTGGAGGCCGAGCACCGCCTGCGAGGAGGCGGAGTGGGTGCACACATTGCCATCGGCGAAGACGGCCGGGATGCGTTCGCTGGTCGACTTACGGATGGTCTTGATGGAGGAGCGCGCGCTGACCAGGTAGACGGTGGCCTGGACATAGAACTTGGCCATGCAGGTCTGCTTCAGCACGGAGTTCTTGTACGAGTTGCACTTGTTGTAGGTGCGGCCCAGGTTGTAGCCTCCAAAGACCAGTTGCTGGGTGGCGGCATTCACATCGCTGGCGATTTCGGCGGACGTGTGGGCAGCCACAGCGCCGCAGGAGTGCAGATCCTCGTGGGCGGCATTCACAATGCGGTTGATCTCCTCATCCTCGGCGGCCACGCACTCGGGACTCTCCAGTCGGCGCGACTCCACCTGCTCGACGGCTGCCTCCAACTCCTGCTGCGGCTCCACGACGATCTCCTCGTACTGATGCACCAGTGCCTCGCCGGCCGCCTTGCCAATCTCGGCCATCTCGTCCACCACGCTGCGCACCTGGGCGTCCAGCTGGGCGGGCATGTCCAGCGGTTGGGCCCATCCACTGGCCACGAAGAGGGTCAGGATAATGGCTACGGCGGATTGCTTCATCATTGATACTTTGCTTCTGCTGCTACTATTGCTACTGCTAATGGCAAATTTCAGCGCAAATCGTATTTATAGCCCGGGCATCCAGGAATGGATTATTCGCAGACGGTAATTGACTAATCTGGATTGGTGGCCATAAATGTACTGTGGCCATTGTAAATCACTCGCGGCTTGGTCGGATTAGCGAACTTTACTTCGTGTGTTTGGGTGTCACACAAAGAACATCAGAAACATCGGGATACACATACACTTTATAAGTAGAAAGGGTAATAATGAGTTTTTCGGTAATTTAATTTTAATAATTTGGGTTTATATACTAAAATATGTATTTATCAGAACAATAAGTGATTTATACGATCATATTCCACTAGTTTGTTTATCTGGCAACAAAAAGTCAACAAAAAACTGGGAAACGCGAGTGTGTCTAATGTCTCAAGTGATTCCATAGATTGGATTGCCACTGTTTGTTTTTCCGACTTCACAATGACTTTTAATCGAGGGCATGAGTAGGGCCATAAATTATATGACATTATCTTCTATAATTAAGGCATTATTTAGATGCTTCGATTAGTGCGATTTGGGAGGGGCGACTCCAGTTATAGATAATATAATTTGCGATCTTATCGAAGGACTCCCTCTCTTTCAGCCCATTTTTTTTCTCTTTCCTCCTTTCTTAGCGCAAAAAAGTCCGACGGAAATTATTCCGATTAAAGAAGGCCAAATAATGGGAAATATACCAATTGACCGATAAAAACGACTCTTGAATATATTTTAATTAACTGGGAGCGCCGATATGGCAATCTGAATGCGCACCAGGTGGGTCAGCCGCCCATATATAAGGTGAATCCGCACCGGGATCACGCTAAATCCAAAAAACCAACAATGAGGAGTAGTATTCTGGTGTTGGCATTCGCTTTGGCGGCTGTGAGTAGAAAATGGAATATACTTGTAAAATCCTACTATAATATTGGGGTTCCAAAGTAAGGCGATTCATTTTATCAAGCCTTTTACAATGACATGGCAACGGTGCGTATGTGCGATATCTGACAAAACCTTATCGCTGAAGTATTTCTCCTCGCCTGGAACATATTTTATAAAAACAGTGGCTACTTCTTATCGAATATGTTGAGGGCCAGCAAAGAACTTATGCGTATGATTAATTAGCTAAAATACAATAGGAATCCGCAAGTATTCACCACAGCATAAAAGAAAGCAACTGAAATGTATGAAAATGTTCAGGACGGACAACTTACGATTGCTTGGCTATGTTTTTCAGGTCTCAGCCTTGCAGCTGGAGGAGCCGGTGGAGCAGGATGTTTCCCTGCAGGAGTTGGCCAAGGAGCTGGGTCTCGAACTGAACCTGGACTTCGACCTGAACCTGGGATTCAACCTGGAGGACGAGCTGGCCGAGGAGGGCAGCGTGGATGTGGACGAGTTCGCCGTCCTGGACCGCATGACGCGCTTTTTGATCGCCGAATCGAAGGCTCTGGCCAAGGAGATCATCCTGCTGACGGAGCGCCAGCTGCTGAAGATCTTCCTGTGGCCGCTCAGGGAGCTGGAGAAGCTGGCGGACGACCTCGAGAGGCGGGCACTGGACGCGGGCGATTGTGCCATCAATGTGTCCTCCAGCTCGGCCGAAATGGTGGCGTCCACCACCCTGGACTTCCTGGGTTGCGCACGCGACGCCGCCCTCACGTCCATCAACCTGGTGCTGGACACCAAGAAGGCGGTACTCCAGCTGACCATCGATGGCTACCAGCTGTACCGCCTGCGGAGGGAATGCAACAGCTACAAGGACACCAGCATTCGCAAGAAGACGTGCAAGGCCATGCTCACCGCCAAGAGCCTGCTGTACGTGGCCAATGGACAGGCTTCGCTGCGCCATCTGATCAAACTCCGGAAGAGCGTACCCGCCGTGGCCACCGATGCGACCAGCTGCACCGCCAAGTCCACCGAGAACGCCATCCGCGAGTTCGAGGCGCTCAACGCCGCCATCGATGCCTGTGGCGCCAAATTTTAAATTTGAATTTTAGATGGAAAATTAATATGAAATGGACATGAATTGTCGAATAAAATGTGAAATGCATCCCAGTTCAATTAGGAGAATTTGGTTTGTTTTGGTTTTTTGAGTTATTACTTTTATTTAAATTTGGTTTCATTATCGGTCATCTTTTTTTAAATACAATAAATAAACATTTAAACTATTTAGTGGTATGTATATATATGTATATATATAAATCGTTTGTTTTTTTTTGTTAAATATTTTAAATAAGTGTATATATATTGTATTTCATGGGACTTCGCCATCATTCGCCCATCAACTTTTGCCTCGATTACATAATTGTTCTTCGTATTCCGTGGCAAAACTTCTGCACTTTCGGAATTAATTGTTTTGGTTTTTAGTTTTTAGTTTTTAAAGAAACTTGGTTTGGTGTGGTTTGGTTTGTTATATAAGTAAATTGCTGTGTTCGGGCTAACGGTCGTCAAGTGTCTCCTATATATATATATGTATATATAAATATATATGTACATATATATACTATATATTTACATATATATCGTACTATATACCACACACACTTGCATGTAAGTAAAAGTAGCTTGTTGCATAAATACTAATGTATAAATTGTCGGTTTTCGGTTTCTATTCTCTACTCAAGTATGATCCCACATACAAATACAACTAGCTTTTGCATGTATTGGTATATCTGTATATGTATGTATACGTGTATGTGTGTGTGTGTGTGTGTTGGTGTGTGAGTGTCGGCTGTACATATGTAGAATGTATGTACCATTATCAATAATTAGTTAAACTGTAGCTAGTATATGTATTTGCCTTATGTTGCTCAACAATTACTTGTACCTCCCACATTTTACGATTATTTTATTGGAGTTTTTCATTTTCGATTGCAGTTTTCTCGTGATTTTTAATTATATATGTTTGCATTGTTTTTGTTTTTTTTTCATTAGTCACAGATGTTTTTAGGCGCGCTTGTATGCTTTAATGAATTCAGCGTGTGTTGTATATTATTAATAATTCAATTTTTATAGTAGAAAATAAAATATAAGTAAAAGGCAATTTCTTAGTATTTTTCCATTTTTTGTTCGTTTTTTTTGTCCCCGAAAAAATTTGTGCTTAATTTTGTAGAGATTTTCTTTCATTGCCTGCATTCTATTCGTTTAAAACAAAAAATGTTAAGATATTTTTTAGTTTAGGTTTTTGTGTTTTTTATTTGTTTTTTTTTATAATTTTAATAATGTATAATATTTAGTTCAATAAATTCGTTACGACACATGGACTAAGACACAGCAAAAAATATTCATGCTTAATTTAGATTCAGTTTGTGTGATTTCTTTTTTTTTTTGTATTTTTCGCATCCATCTCCAATTTGATTTGGTGTGATTGGTAGATCGGTTTGTGGTATTATGGTTTCAACTGCATATTATTCTTCACATTTCGCGTCCTAAATGCGCTTGTAAATATATGTCAATAATAAATGATGAAACAGCTTAAGAACTTGATTAATTTTGTTTTAATTTCTGTTATTTTCTTCTGCGAATATTTTGCAAGACACCTACCAGTACCTAGTTTATCTGCCAGCTTCCAAATTTGTAGTTATTTTCGAAATTCTTTGCTTTTGGGGCTAAACGTTCAGCGGTTTTGCGCTCACTGATAACATCCAATCGGTAGTTGGTAATCGTTAATTGGTAATCGGTAATCGGTAATTGGTATTCGGTATCGGTAATTTATAGATAATTTCGTATTTTCCATATTCTCGTATGCGGTATTCGGTTTTGATATGTTCGCTTCAAATGCGTGTCATGAAAATACATTTGCTTTGCTGATTCTGCAATACAACTCCGTTTAATAAAAATATACAGTAGAACCTGGCTACTACATAAGTACTTGGTTAATTTTTATCTATATGTATGTCTGTTGACTAAATTGGGCAAATACTTTTATTTACGAGTATATTTGAATTTGTCATTGGGCGTTGTAATTCCGTATTCGTTCGTTAGTGCAAAAACTCCATTTTCGAAACTGCATTTCATCTTCGATTTTCCATATCCGTTTTCTACCGTTTTGTTTTTTTTTTCAATATTATTATTACAATAGTGTGGCCAAAGCTTATTGTCGGAAGCGTTATGCATTTTAGGTTTAGTTTTCATTATTTATTCGGGTTTCTAGCTTTTTTTATGTTTTGTAAAAATATTTTCGTTACTCGTCAATATCTTGTTAGAATAATGAAACATTAAAATGAAATTCGAAAAATGAAACGCAAAATGTAAAGATTTTTGAGATTTTGTTTTTTTTTTTTTGTTTTTTTTTTTTTTGTGGAAAACATGGTAAGGCTATTTTCGTAGTGTTGTTTGCTGTCATATCCTCCACTTTGAGTTATTTGCGTTTTGAAAAATGAATTATTCATTTTGGTTCTTTGCTTACATTAATCACTAAAATTTATCTTTGTTGTATATATCTTTTCTTCGATAAATGTATATAAATTTTTTTGTTCTGTTTTCTTTTCTTCCTTTTGGCGTAACTTTGTGTGAGCTGTGATTTTTTTTTCTTTTTTTGGTTTTTTATTTCTGCCCATTCTTGATTTTTCGTAAAGAAAATGTTTCAAAAAATGTTTAACAAACAATTCAATAGGCTTTACACGAAAAATGATGTGGCATTTACTTATACGTTATATAAATCAATTGTAAAATATATATATTCATATACTCGCTTGTTTGTTCTATGTTAGTTTGTTGTATAATTAAATATTGCATTTGGTTTCGTTGAACGTCTGGACAATTTTTCATCTTCGCCGATTCGTCGATTTTCCCCCGATTTCGCATCTACTTAGTGACATTAAGTTACAACTAGTAATAGTATATAGCTGTACGTATTTAAATATGAGTGTTTCATTTTCTTATTTTCTTGTTCTTGTTCTTCTTTTCCTTTCCGTTCCTCTTCCTTGTTTCTGTTCCTTGTGTCGTGGATTTCGGCCCAAGGACTTGGGGGTTTCTTTGCCCTGCTAAGTATGCTACAGAAATGTTCGAATAAACGAATAAGGATCGAATACAAATATTCACTCGCCGATTGAACGCTAGTTCCTATAAACCATTGTATCATAATATCTTCTGTTGTTCTAGTTTGTTTCTATCCCTTTGACGAAAACCATTCCTTGCCTTTGTTTTATATAATTTACAAAAATTTTGATTTCAGTACCTGATTGCAATGGGTTTTTCGTTTTTGTTTTGTTTTTGGTTTTGCTTAAAAAAAATACAGACACTTGTAATTGTTGTTGTTGTTGTTGTTGCTTGCTTTAGACATAATTTGAAGTACAATTCATATGTATACATATAGGTATATATTTTGTTCTAGCTTCATATTTAGGCCATAATTTGTGTTTTGGTTTGAATACGAAAACGCTTTCAAAAATTCTACAGGACATCGTAACTTTCTCCCTCCGCCGCTTGCTTGTTGTAAACTTTAATATGTAAATACACACAATTAGCTATGTTTATGTTTAAATATTTGGTTTCCGCTACACTAACGCTTTTGGAACCCAATGAGCAAAAGTATCTAAGACATATTCTGCGTTCTGGAAAATTGTTTCGCATTTCTACATCCGTTTTAGCACTACAATACAATTGGTTTCGGTTATTGTTGCTTTGTAAATATAGTCGATATATGTGTATAATTATGATCATTGGTTACAAGTACAAGACATTAAAGGAGGGCACACGAATCGAATTTGCTAACAATTGTTATTCCTATTTTCTCAGAGTGTCTAAGGGTTCAAAGTGCGACCGAGTTGGCTGAGATCGAAATGAAGAATTCAGAAATTGGTCTAATTCGTTAGCCCTTTTAATTTGTTCACAACCATGTAAAGAAGTTGGAGGGGAAGCAAGAGGACCAAGATAAAAGGTCCATAAAAGCCAAAGAAAATACAAGTAATGCCTCTACGGGTGCTACACTCGAAACAAATCAGCCCAGTATAGACAAATTCAAAAGTGCAGATTCCTTTCCTACTTAAAAACGATATTCAAACGATGTGACTTTAGATTCTAGGACGCCATAGTTGTGCGGATTTTTGAAAATGTTTCCGAGTGTGTAAAGTGCTAATAAAAATTGTTTCGAAACTATTTGGAAACCGACATAACTCTCAATAATTCTTATATTCCCGCAATTCCTGAACTATTCGCTGAATACTCGTATAAAGCAGAAGATTGGAAGTATGGGCTTTATACTTGTTGCATTTCTGGCAAGGATTCTCTAGAGGTGTGTGTGTACGAGTATATGTGTGTGTTGACTGGCTTCTTGAACTTTATTGCTGTTTACGATTAAGGTAGTATCTCGATTCTAGATTCTCGCTTCCGTCAATTGTTATTGCTTGTGTAATTGTAATTGTTAATGTAATTGTAATTGTAATTGTTATTATTTCGCTCCCATCGATTTTCTTTGTTAAATTAAGAATGAAAACTCAAACTTTTGTTCTCAAGGTTCAGGTAATCAATTTCTAGTCTTATCTGTTGCACTGAGTAGTCTGCGATTTTCCTCATTTTCATTTGCAATTTCATGTTCTTGTTCTTGTTTTCTGGTTGTTATACTTTTTGAAGGTATGTATACATATATAGGCATATGTGCGTGTGTATATATAATTTGTCAAATTTGTTACGTCATTAGTTGGATATAATAATTGGAACTATAAATATAATTACGCTTTCATTCGTGTCAAAATGAAAACTCAGAACGATCAACAGATGATAATGGAACCCATATTCGGTTCGATGCTTATAGATAATGTCTTCAGTTGATTTGAGTTGAGTTGAGTTGAGTTGAGTTGAGTTTGTAGTTGGTAGTTGGTAGTTCGAGTTGAATCGCTGCAAACTATAGGATAAGTTTAGGGTCTATAAGTACCGTAGGTTGTAGTATTAGTTGCAGTTGCAGTTGCAGTTTCCAAGTTTAGTAGTTTAGGTAAATTTGTGGCTGGATGAAACAGGTTGTTCTGCGTGAGTTGAATAGGTTTTTGTTTACGTTG